ACCACCATTTAACCAGCTTATAAGCATAGTACAGACTCAGCCAAAGAGTTAAGAATTGCCTGGAGATGGAAACCAAACTCTTTCTATAACCTTGGTTGTCCTTCTAAACCCTGGGTAAGCAGCGGTGAACAAGCTGTGCGAACCTTACTTTTACTTCATACCAGTTTCCCAAACAGCAATTCTGGCCACATCAATGAATGGTCTTGAATCTCTGCAAAAATTTAAAAAAACCACAGCAACAAAAAAGAAGTTGCTCTTTCTCCTGTGAGAACAATGTGTATATTCAATAGGCTGTTAATGCTTAGAGAGAAACAGGATTTTCACCTGTGTGGCAATTTAAAAAACATCTAGGTGCTTGTTTATACATAGAAGCATCAGGAGGACAGGCAGCGGTCTGGTCTGGGGTGTGAAGTTATATAAAAATTAACAGTGCTCTTTTTGGAAGAGAGAAGGATTTAAAGAGAGGATGTTATTCTTCTAGTGAATTCAAGGTGGAAAGAGCCCAATAGTAAGGAAGAACTTGAAAGGAAATCCCCAGATGAGAAGGTAGAAGGTTTTGTCAGGGACCAGCATTCAATGTCTGCCAGTCAATGAAAAACTGTAATGTGAGGACCAGGTAGATTTGCATGAAAAGGCTTTTTTCAGCTCTGTGGGGGTTTAAGAGCGATTCGGAGGGTCCTTTTCTACGTATGGCAACCTTTTACCATCTTTGATATTCCCTGAGCCTGAGGAAGGGCAGATGTGCCCGAAAGCTTGCAGAAAAAGATATTTCTTTTGCAATTTCTTAGTTGCTCTAATGAAGGTATCATCTCTGAACCAAGAGTTCTAGAGTTTTACATTTCTTTTTGTCTCAGACCAATACAGCTACCAAATACATCCCTGAAACACTGAGTTAGCCAGTTCATGGTAAATATCAACACATTCCGGAAATGAAATTAAGTTAAAGTGGAGATTCAGACACCAGACAACAGTCACTTAGGCCACAGAGTCCGGTCATGTAAGTTAGGAACAAAGCCTGTTCAGAGAGGACAGCAATGCTCACAAGGAGACCTCCATCAGAAGCCGGCTGCTCTCTACAGCGATGGAGGTACACTGACATCCACCGAGTAGGGCACAACCCACATGCGAGGGTGGAGTATCCAAAGGGGAAGCAAGGTTTTGAGAGTTGGTGCCCCAGAGCTGTGTTAAGGCTCCAGAGCTGGAAGAGACAGTGCATCTTGTTTGCATTTGGCAATGAGAAATTAATCCTGAATAATCACCGGCAACCTGATTCTCCTCTCAGTCAAACCAGAGTAAATCAGGAATGAATCTGAAAAGTCCAAAGAGTTTACTTGAGGCAAGAAAAAAATTCTGAACAGCACAAACCCTGAAATCAAAAAAAGCAGATGCTGCCGATATGCTGGGGGAGCACTGGAGGGCACTCTCTTATCAGAAGACATACAAAAAACTAGAACTCTTGGTTCCAAAATGATACCTTTTATTAGACCATTCAAGAAAATTGTCTTTTTCTGCAAGCTTTTGGGATCAAAGTCCCTTTGTCAGGCTCTGGGAAAAGTATAGATGGTACAAGATGGTAAAAAGTCCCCATAGGTAGGCAATCAACTCTTATCAGGACATAATCTTAGTAGTAGAATTGAAATGTTTTTTTAAAAAAGAAGAAAAATCAATATAAAAAGAAAAAGTTCAAAGGAAAAAAAGCAAAAAATCTGCATTCCTGGAAAGGTGGCTTAAGTAAAGAGCCAAATGGAGTGATTTGGGGGACCTCAGCATAGATTGGTATTAGCTGGGAACAGCAGGCAGGGAGCAGCTTTGGGAGACCGAGCTGCTCTCATCTGTGGGTGTTTCAGAGAACCGCAGGGTCTGTCCCAACCAAAGACCTCTTTTCCATAGAAAGGCCAAATGATTTTGGTTCCCTGAGCTCGCCTTAGGCCCCTCTCCTCCTCAGGACACTCACATGACCAGCTTGGTAGCAGGACAGGATTTCTGTTGTTTGGTTTAGCTTAAAGGGCTTTTCCAAGTACTAGTGCTCATTTCTATCTCAGCAGGATGCGACCAAGTGTTAACTCTGTGCCCTGAGAAATATGTACAGGCTTCAGTTTGATTCCAAGGTCACTCTCCTACTCCGCGCTGGCACTGAGGGTGGCTGAGTCCATGGCATCTATAGACATGAATAATGATACCAGCAAGATAGGCACGCGTCTGGTCTGGGATATGAAAATGATTACCAAAAAAAAATCAGACCCCTACTGTGACGAGAAGGATATAAAAAAAGTTGCAAAGGAATTCATCAGAAGAACAACAACGGGGCAAAGCTCAGTAGTAACCACCAATATGAATGGATGGAGCCAGATGGAGCCTTATTGGTTCCCTCACAAAACCTTCTCGCAGTGTCTGCTAGTCCATGCAAAACTCCATGGGGTGGGGTAGATTTGCATGAAGGGGCCGTTGTTAGCTCTGGGATTTAAGAGTGACTTGAAGTATCCCAGCCAGAGCTCTATTTCTTCAGAAGCCAAGCTGCTTCCTCACCATGGCCTGGACTCCCCTCTTCTTCCTTCTGCTCACGTATTTTACAGGTAGAGAAAGAGTTCCTTTTCTCTGTCACAATTTTAAAGGCTTTTGTCACTGATTCTGTGTTTGTTTCATGTCATAGATTCCTTCATCTAGCCTCTGTCGACTGTGAGAGTAACACAAAGGCTTCTATTTATTTCCAGGGTCACTCTCCCAGTTCACCCTGACTCAGCCACCCTCAGAGTCCGTGTCCCTGGGAAACACAGTTAAACTCTCCTGCACCATCAGCAGTGGAAAAACATTGGGAGGTGTTGCCTGGTACCAGCAAAAAAATGGGAACAGCCCAAGATACTTGTTGATGTTCAATACGGACTCTGACAAGCACCAGGGCTCCGGGGTCCCCAGTCGCTTCTCTGGTTCCAAAGACACCTCGAATAAAATTGGCTACTTAACCATCACCAACGCCCAGGCAGAGGATGAGGCTGATTATTATTGCACTGCCTGGACTAGTGAGCTGCACAGTGACACAGTTAGTTGCAGACCTGAATAAAACCTTTTCCTTTCCTCAGCTTGTGCCCTGCATGAGTTCAGGCTGTGTTTATGCACTGTGACCATCCGCTTCCTGTCTCCACTACTGGTGGCTACTAGGGTTTGTTAGCCCTTTGACATGTAAAGCCATATTTTAGTTGTAACTCATGGGAAGTTTTGCCATCCTGTCCTCTCAGACTGGTACTGCTCCTGTATATGGTCTTACTCGGGTAATTGGGGCATATGAGAATTCAGAAGAAAGCATTCCAAAACCCAGTTCTTAAATATGTGCATTGAGTGACTTTGTTCATGGTAAATATGGGCAAAATTCTTAAATTAAATTAGGTCCTAGATTCTAAGACCAAACAAGAAGGTGTTAGAGCTGAGATCTGAGTCATTTCACTTAGAAACAAAGCCCAGTTTAGAAAAAGAGTAGCTCTAGGCCATAAGAAGATCTCCACGAGAGGCAGGTTGCTTTACAAAGTGACAGAGGTTCTGAGACCTGCTGATTATGGAACAATTTTCTTCCTCTGCTGACCATGTCTGAGATGCAGGGAATTCCCAAGCCCAAGACATCACCAAATGTAAAACGTGCTCTGAGAAAGTGAGCATTAAATACACTTCACTATGCAGCCTGAGTTATAACTCCCCAACTGCCCTGGGTAAAAGGTAGGCATGTGCTGAATCTCTCCTGAAACATAGAAAGCTGCAGGGTAAAATAGGTTGGCACAGTCCTGGGGTTTTATTGGAAGTCTCTGGGTAGCTGTTGTTTCCTTTCAAGCCCCAGCTGCTGCAATCCTGTGCTTCCCAAGGATCTCACCTTACATTAAACAGTAGTCTCAATTACCCCATATTTGTGGAGAAGAGCTGGCTCTCCTAAAGGCTCACAATGCAAATTAAATGGTCATTATATATTTTTAAAACCTTATTTTGTTAAAGCCAAAGGTATGACTTAGAAGGCTTGGGATGGGCGATATTAGTGTTGTTTGGGGCTTCAGATACACTGAATATTTCCAATTGTCTCACCTGAAGAGCAGTGTTGTGCGGATCTGGCTTGTGGGCGGCAGGGGGCAATGTGTACCCTTTTAGCCCAAATATAAATTGCTTGTAATGGAATAAAGCGCTCAATACAATTTTTCCTGTCACCTGCGTGTGCAACCGGCTGTGGTGTCTGAACAGCTGCATCCTTCCAGATGTCTTGTGCTGGCACACTGTGTGGGGCCTGGCTTATATGGGGGCTGGAGGAACCCCACGTGCCTTGATGTAGGCTGTAGGTTAATGAGCCACCTCTGAGTGCATTCATTTACTTAGGTACCCATTGGCATATCTCACACTCCATTGTTAATACCAAAGTTTCCTATTGAATGTGAAAGTCTTTATATAAATGAGCAGAGGGAGCCCCTCCTATGCCAAGTGTGATCAGTCCAAAGGTTTGATATGAATGAAGAGGCGGGTTTTTCAAAGGCTTCATTTCTCCCTGTGGAAGGCAAATGGGTCTCTTCCCTTTCATAGGGGCTGGACCTGAGAGGAAAAGAACAGAAATGGAGATCCTGTCTGAGGGAGCAAAAGCCAATTTCCCTGAAGAAATGGCAGCACGTGCCCTGTCTGGACCAGAAGGAGTGACACCAAAGGAGGGGGAGAGCCTCTCTCACGGGTGCTCACCTGTTACTTTTTTCAGAAGACCGCAGCCAGTGAGGAAGGGGCATTCACGTGAAAGGGATGTTCGCAGCTCTGGGCGTTTAAGAGACCAGTTTGCCTTGGAAAGCCAAGATGGTCTGGATTTCCCATCGTGGCCTGGGTCCTTCTCGTCCTTGTTCAACTCGCATAGACCTGAGATTTTGTGACTAAATTGTTGGGAAAATTGTAGGTGAGAAGTATTATCCTGACTCACCATGTTGATGAATATATTTAGCCTGCGGCGACCCAAGAGTCTGCACTGGGACTGTCACTCTGTCCTGCAGCCGGAGCACCGCAGCATCCCCACCAGCTACTATCCTGGTACCTGGATCTCCCTGCCAGCAGCTTACATACACCTCTGACAGCAGGCCCTCCAGGACCCCCACCCAGTTCATGGGCTTCATATCTGGTCAGGACATGGCTTTAACCATCACTGGGGTCCAAGCCAAGGAGGAGGAAAACTACTACTGTGCTGTGTGATTTATTGGTAATGAGATGTCCCGTAATGATGCAGCCAGCTGGGGAAGGGAGGAAAAAACTTCTCTCCCGCCCCCTTCCAAGCCTAGGCTGACATGCCTGCACAGCTTGGCTCCTGCCCGGATAAATGAATCGCTGTCTGTTACTCATTAGCAATTTCAGCCCCCTGCACTGTGCTCCTACTTCTCCTCCTCCATCTCTCTGGGAGAGGTCACCAGGTCTATGTCTATAAGTAACACAGCACATGTGGCCCAGTGGCACTGCCCAGTCACCCTGGGGACCAGTCCCAGCTGGTGGTGCAGGAGGTGCCTGTCAGTACCAGTGATAAACTGCTGAGTGCCAGGGTAGACCTCTGCTGTGACCAAGGCGGGGGGTGTCTTGACTGAGGCAGGAGGGTTGGTTCCTAGGCTGAAAAGCAGCTCCCTGTCCTCTCAGGAGGCCATAGCCCTACCTTCTGCAGTGTTTTCCATGCATCCACAGCACCTGCACAGCTTAGCACAGCCTACATCTCGGAACTTGTTCACTTCATCCCCTCTTTCATTTACCCAAGGCACTTTTCTCAGATCCCACATCATTCTTTTCCTGTTCTTGCACCTGCACTGCCCTCATGCATGGACTTGCATGGAAACACTCCCAGGCTAGGGGCAGACTTTACACACAAACCAGTTTAAGTGATCAGAAAAAGGGTTAAACCTGAAACAGAACCGATGTTCAGTTCACATAAACCAGTTTGAGAATGGCTGAAACTGGTTTGAGATAGACCTGGTTGAATGTAGTATCAGACTTAACTGATTTAGCTCAAACTGGTTTATGCAAAGTCTGTCCCAGACCTTTTGCTAGTTTTATCATAAGGCAGACTCCCTCAGCATCCTGGCATGGCCTTGGGCTGGGAAGGACTCTCTGCTCCACAGCAGAGATGTCTCCTTCCTCTGCTCTCCAGCCAGGGTGTGGCCAGACGCTGGCCTGCCATGGCCTCTGTGGCAAATTTCTCCCTCCGTCCCCTCTCTCCCTCCCTGTGCTGGCAAACCCTGGGGACTGCAGCTGCAGTTTGCCAGCCCCAGCCATACCTCAATGGCTTGCCTGCAAACAGGCAGGGATGGAGTTAATGACTCCCGCTGTCCCCTCTGCTTTGGCTGCAGTCTGTGTGGCTTGCACAGCTGTCCCAGAGCAGGAGAGAGAAGCTCCAGGTCTGTGTGCAGATCCAAGCCCGGCTGCAGCTCTGAGCCCAGAGCTAAGATTTGCAGGACCAGACTGAGAGGTGGAAAGTGTTGGCAAAGACCTGGCATTCATCAGCGATCACACAAGCTGGAGATTTAGTTACCAGAAGCTGCATCAAAGAATGCAGAGAGCTTCATTTACATTATAACGCAGAACATGTAAACAAAGCCTTTCCCAATGCCTGTCTGTAAGGAGACACTCTGCCCTCAGGAATAGTAAGACTAACTCTTGTCTTTCTGGTTTACATTTCAAGTTAGACCGAGTTGTGTATGCTGTGTTTTACTGGGCTCTATCTTAGCTTAGGCAAAGATTTTTGGTAGTTTCCTGCTATATGCTTTGCAAATTGCTGTGTTCAATACCTTGCTTCAGAGAAAGGACTTTTTCCCCATCCCCTGTGTGCTAGCCTGGCTGTTGCCTGGCCACGCTCTCTCCACTCCAGCAGGGAGGGGTGAGAGCCTTGAAGGGCATCTCTTCCTTCCCCTTTGGCAGTGGCTGGCAGGCAGGCACTAGCACTCCCCGGCATCTGGTTGAGCCACTGCAGGCATGTGCCTGCATTTCCTGGTTTAACAGAGCATGTCTGTCAAGCTATTAACCAGTTTAAGCTGCACAGCTTAGACTAACCTCCAAAGAGTGAATCAATTCAGGCTTGGGCTTTTTGAATGTCTGTCCCTAGCCCCAAGGGTTAGGAACCTGCCTCTTCCCTCCACCCTTGTTCCCCCAGTACTTGGATCCCTATTTTCTGTGTTTGTGATGAGCTGTACAATGTGCAGTTGAATGAGTAGCAGGGCTGGCAGCATTTCTATCCCTAAACCAAAGAAGGACAGACAAATCCTCCCATGCTGTGCTGTGACTGAACGCATGGAGCTCCCATCCCTCGCAGTAACTCTGTGCCTGCACAGTGTTGGCACTACCCAGTTGGCAGAGCTGTGGCAAGAGACATCCCTGGGTGACAGGTTGTGGCTAAAATTTGCAGAGAAGGTGTGCCCTTGAAGCACCCTTCAAGGGAGACATTATCTGTGTTTGTGACCCATTTGGTTGCAAGAGCCTTGTCACTGTGTGCCCTGTATATATGAATAAGTTTTGAGCTGAGCGGAGGGAGCCACATCTCTGGGGTGGTTTTATACTCATGGCCAGCTGCAGCCAATAACCAGGGGCAGATTTGCATGGAAGGGTCCTTTTAGACCCACAGGTGCTTGAGAATCGCAGGGTCCCAACCAGAGACCTGTTTGTCTGAGGACGCAGAGCTGGTTTGCATTCCCAGGATGGCCTGGGCCCCGCTCCTCCTTGTGCTGCTCACACACTGCTCAGGTGCTGTGGAGGGTTAGGTTTTCCCTGAGGCTATTGGCCTACAAAGATTCTTCCGTGTACAGGCCCTAATCTCATGCGTTTCCGTGGGTATCCCAGGCTGTTTCAGTCTGGAGTAAGTTCTGCATTTACCTTTCTGCTTTTCCTTCTTATTCCAGGTTCCCTTGCCCAGTACGTGCTGACTCAGCCGCCTTCAGTGTCTGTGTCTCCAGGACAAACCGCTCAGCTCACCTGCTCCGGGGACAATGTTGCTAGCAAGAATGTGTATTGGTATCAGCATAAAGTCAGCAGCTCCCCTCTACTTGTGATGTACAATAGTAGGAGCAGACCCTCCGGCATCCCTGA